TCCCACGAGTCAAGAGATGGTCTGCTTTGGAGAGGGAATGGCGAAGGCATTTTTACTGTTAACTCTTGTATGAAGACTTGTTTTGTTGAATCGGTAAAAGATAGTTTCTGGGAGAAATGTATTTGGAAGGGATTGATGCCTCCTAAAATTGAAACCTTTATGTGGCAAGTAGCCCATAACAAACTGGCGGTTAAGTTTGAGCTTCAAAAAAGAGGGGTTTCGGGGATTGTTGATGTTTCTTGTCCTTTGTGTAAAAGAGAGATTGAATCTATTCCTCATCTATTTTTCTCTTGCACGGCGGCATGGTCCCTATGGAATAAGTTTTTGAGGTTTTGGAATATTAGTTCGGTCTTTCATGGAAATGCACAAGGCTTTTTGCTTGCTTGGAATGACATGATGTTTTCTTCTTCTATTTGGTCCTTAATTCCGGGGGTGGTGCTTTGGACCATTTGGAAATTTAGGAATGCCGTGGTGTTTGAAGAAAGGTCCTTGGATCACATTGAGTTATTTTTCATGGCTAGGCTAAGGCTTGCTTATTGGTTCTTAGCTAAGTTCAATGAGGTTACTATTTCTAAAGATTCCTTGATAAGTGACCCTTCTATTGCAGATTTCTGGTCTTCTTCCAGAAATTCGGCTACTAATATTGTGTCCTGGATTCCTCCTCCATAGGGTTATCTAAAACTGAATGTTGATGCAGCAGTTTGCAATGATTGGCGAAAGAGTGGTGTGGGTGGTTTACTAAGAGATGAGGCTGGTAAGATTTTGGGTTCTTTTAAAGAATCTGCAGATCCTGGACCTCCAACTTTGCTGGAGCTTGTTGCCATCAAGAGGGGTGTACTCTTCTTTGAGCATGACCTTAAGAGGTTTAAGAATCGGTGGATTGTTGAATCTGATAGCAAGCTTGCTGTGGATTGGGTTAAGAATTTAGATAGTTGTCCTAGTGTTTTCTTTCATATTGTTAAAGAGATTGTTGCCATGATAAGAGTTTGGGAAGGAGCTATCAAATGGATTGACAGAACGACAAACATAGAAGCCGATAGTTTAGTTAAGGCTGATATTGGATAGTTATTGTTTGATGGGTTGGGATTTGTTTTATTGAGCGCAAGAGGTGTTCTTGTTGTGTTTCGGGTTTTTTGTAAGGGGCTTGTTAGTTTTAAACATTATGTATTTTTCTACTTATTAATGAATTATGAGGCACTCTTTTCCTCCTTCCGCTGATTAAGGAACACCAATCGGTGTTCCGTTAATCATGAAGGGGGTTTTTAACGAGGCCTTAACTTCCTATCAAAAAAAAAAATTCTGGAAAAATTCAGCTTCATACCTTCAACTTCCAAGGTAGACATAGTGTTATAAATTTCGAAAAATGGTCCCTGACAGTAGCTTTAATTATAGCCGGATCTTGAATAATCTCACCATTAACATTCAGAGCACTCATGAAATTCCTCTTCTTCTTAACTGAAGCGCATGTATGAAAAAAATCTTGTATTGCGATCCCCTTCTTCCACCCATTTCGATCTCGATTTTTGAAACCAAATCTGTTCCTCAATTTTATACAGCCTCCATAATTCTTTTCTCATAGAAGACAATTTTGCTCCTTGTTCTCTTCCACTTGAATCTTGCAACTATTGGAAATTTTCCTCTGCCTTGTGGATTTTTCTTTCTAATTCAACAATCTCTTCAGCTGGAACTTCAGTTGGAAATTGGTCTCTCTTCCCCGCCCATGTTTTTATTTCCAGTTTCGTTGTTTTCAGAATAGCCAGAATACCAATTATGTTATGTTTTCTCTTTCTGTCTTGAACAGTAGAATTAACAAGTTCCTCAAAGCCATCCTCATCCATCAAATAATTAAAGAGTTTGAAAGGTTTTCTTACCCTAACTAACTCTTCCATTATCAAGAAAGATAACATTATGATCTGACACAGACCTAGTAAGCGAAGTTTGAATAATATCAGGAAAAGCTCCCAAGAAATGATCATCCACTAAGAACTTGTCCAATCTAACAAAAGTGGGGATATCTTGATTGTTGCACCATGTGAACCTACCCCCATTCAAAGGTAAATCAATTAATCTTGTCTGCTGAATAAAATGATTGAACATCCCCATTGAATTTTTGTTTTGAGCTCTCCCAACCTTCTCTTCTTCTGATAAATACACATTAAAATCTCCTCCCACACAAAGACGAATACTCCGTCCATTAAGGAAATCAGCTAGCTCTTAAAAAAAACTGACTTTTTCATCCTCAACAGCTGGCCCATAGACATTAATGAAGCCACACCTAAGCTGGTTTGATCGAAATTTCCCGAAAATGGCGATAAATCTTCTGTTAATAACATGATCTTCCAATTCAAACGAACTCTCATCCCAACAGCTCAATAAACCTCCAGAGGAACCCAATGCTGGAGATTCTACAAACCCTTGGAGGGTATTCAAACCACTCCTTAAAAAATATTTTTGAAACTTCTCCAATTTAGTTTCTTGCAGCAGAAGAATTATAGGGCGATTCTTTAAAACCAAATTCTGAAAAACTCTCTGTTTTTCCTTTCTTCCTAATCCCCTAACGTTCCATGTAATAATGGCTAAATTATTTTTCATCATTTAATAATCAACAACCTGAACATCCCAAAAGAACAAGACCTCAGACCTGCCTCAAAACTTTCTCCAAGTTTATAATTTTTTCCAAAAAGGTTGACTTCCCTTCCTTAAAAGAAACCCCCAATAGCTTACTAATTTCCCAAGTAGCTAGTGCTTCCTCCAAGAGAACCGAAAAAGCTGTTGAAGAAACTGTTGTAGTGCTAACTTGATCTAATGCATCTCTCAGCAATAATCTTTTAGCTCTTTTGTTGTTAATCTTAGATTTGAAGTTATAATTGTCTCATTCTGAAAACCACCCTTCAAACATATTATCTATACTTCTGTTAGCTATATGTCTCTCCATAGTAGATTCCACACAACCTTCCACATTAAAATCTGCTACTACATTGACTGGATGAGCTGAACTAAGGTCCAAGTACTTCTCCTTGTGCCTATCTAGAGCTCTCTCTTTTTCCGGAATAACAATTTGATCATTCCCTAACCAATGTCTTTTCTCCCTGGATCTTTTATACACCCTTTTGAAACTGCAAATTCTTCTCCTCTCCATCGGTTCACTCTTTGTAGAAGATGAAGATTTATACCGGTAAGCCAATCTTCCCCTAGAAATCCATTCTTTAGAATCTGCATTAGATCCAACCAACATTAAATTTACTGTTTGATTCACATCTCCACTGCTATCAGTCGAACAGGTGTTAGAAATTCCTCCTTTGTCATCTTCCTCTTTGTTGTCAGGCTCAACTATAAATTGATTATGATTCATTTTCCCAAACCTATTTAGCTTAATTGCTGGCCCAGCAGGAATAGTCTTTAGAACTGTAGAACCAGGCTGCCCATTTTTTGCAGATTGGGCTTGAGATCCATCAGTCAAAAAATTTGAAATTTTACACCCCAACCCCGCATGCTCCCCCATTTTGTTTCTCCCAAGGTTCTGAAATTCTGACACCCCTCTATTAATGCCTTTCCCATCTATGTTAAGCATTGGAAAGTGATTTTCCCCACCAACTCCAACCAAACCCGTATAAGTACCCTGGTCAAACCACTTGTCAACTTTTTGTCTGCTATTTTCTGCTGAACGTTCAGAACTTTCCACACTGTCTGACAATCCCCTGTTATCTTCCTCTGTAGAAATCTCTCCATTTTGTCTACCATCGGAACCACCCATCGGCGAATTACTAGGAAAAAACGAGGAATTCTCTAGCATTGATCCCAACTTAATACTAACTTTGAAGGACCTTCCATAAGATCCAATCGTGATCACCTCTGGAACATCATAAGGGCTCACCACCCTGATCAGAACCTTCGCCGTCGAGAGGTCCTTCCTGTTCTTTGTAGCATCATGGATGTCTTCCACCGTTCCCCGTCTCCCTGCTAACCGTTCCAGAAATGTGTTATGCCAGCATAAAGTGGAATCTCGAAAAACTCTATCATACAAAAAGCCATTGGAATACCATCTTCATTCAACAGGGGTGCCAGCTTGTCAAACCAGAAAAAATAATTCATCCTTCTTCTTCAACCAAGCCTCCATCATCATTTCCGTTGACTGAAATGTTACCACACATGAATTCCAAACATAACCCCATCTGGCAATCTGGACATCATAACCTTCATTTACTAGAGCCTTCTGAACAAACTCTAACTCGAAAGAATGTTTTATGATCCCCGTTAATGACCTCTTAACCCAACTGGAACTCTCAGAGGGAATATGCATTTCCCAGATGTTTTTCATTTTTTTCCCCTGTGAATACCTCCATTTGACATCTCCCTACAATCCGAAACATTGCTCTTCAATCTGTTTGATATTAAAGCATCCTTATAGGATCTATCATCCCTTAAACTCCTATTAGTAACATCTTTCTCTGTTGACTTTGATGTCTCTTCTTTATTCAGCTTTGAAGTCATTAACAATGAACTGTTCTTCCCCACTAACCTTGAACGGGCTTCCTTGTATCTTGCAGCTCCCACTGTAATTCTCCTTCCATCAATCAAAGAACCATTTAAGTTGACTATTACCCTTTTCAGACTTGCCTCATTATCGAACTGCACAAAGGCGAATATGGAGAATTTGTATTTTGGATTTCTAGATTCTCTCGGAATGAACACTCTTTCTACCGGACCCTGGAAAGAAAAACAGTTCCCTTAACTCTTGTCATGACACTCTCCTGCTTAGGTTATCAACGAACGCTGTCCAAACTTCCTTGGAAGAAGACTTTCCTTTCAACTTTTCTCTCTCTACGTCTCTATCTCTCTCACTCATCTTTTTTTACTATCGACACTTTTTTGTCTCTCATCTGTCTATGATATCATTTTAGCAGATTATAATAAATTAGGATGCATAATCTAAGAATTATGATTTTTCTCCCCAATTAAAGAATTATGACTTTGTTAATTTCTTTTTCATTTCATTTCAGTGCCTTCCACTTAAGCTACAACATGCTATTGAATCAATTGCGTTGTGAAGATGCTGATCCTGAAAGTATGCTTCGTAATTCATTTTATCAGTTCCAAGCTGATCGAGCAATTCCTGACCTTGAGGTATGTTATTATTAGATTCCAGAGCTTCTATAATTTGATGTCAAACTCTTTGATCACGGTTCTCCGGTTTCTGAATATTCAAACCGTTCTTTAATAGCCGATCGTAAAATTATAATGTATCAGTTATTCTCGGAGAGAACATTAGTTATTAACTTTTAAGGCTTAAGCCCTTAAGTTGTGTTGAATTGCTAGGTAGTTCAATTTGCTATGGTTCTCTGGTGATAAAAGGCATTTAATTCTAAAGTTTTCTGTCATTGGAAATTTAGGGGTTAGAATTCTGAAGGGCAAAAAGTGAATGCAGTGAAATATTCTGCCTTTAAAGCTATAGGGAAGGAGCACCATCTTAGTGCTAGTGTAGTACTAAAAGTAATAATAATAAAAAGGTATTGACGGGACATAAGATGACAGGCTATACAATTCTATTAATTGAAGAATCATCATATTTAGTTGGGAAAAATAGAAGGAAAAGATAAACTATTTAGTTGAGAAAATATGCTTTAGTTACTATTTAGTTGAGAAAATATGCTTTAGTTTTTAACCAAGGTTTCTTAAATCTAGGCTCTGATTAATTGATGCTTCTTATATTTGCTTATTTATTCTATCAAAAAAATATTTGCTTATTTATTTATTTAATTTTCTTTTCTAAAATTTGCATATAAAGAAAATGGTGAAAGTAGAAGTATGAGTAGAGTACTCAAGGTAAACAACTGACTTTGATATCAGCAATACCTGTACCATACTAAAGTCTTTCCTTGTGTAGTAATTTGAGTATAAACTAAATTGTTCATTACTAAGTTTCTTCTTCTAAAACTCATTAAAAGTGCGCTATGAGTGATCATGTTAAAAGATTTAATTGTGTTAACCATGAAAATTTATCAATATATACAGTTTAGAGAATAAATAATTATGTTATAACACACAGCTAAAGAAGGAATTGGTTTATTAATAGGTTGTGTGTTTAGGTTGTTCTGTTTCTGAGTTGGTTGTATTAGTGTTGTTAGTTTGGTTTTTAAGTGTTATGTTGTAACACAAGTTTGTTAGGATCTGGCTTTGTATTATTCTTATATTAATAAATTCTTAGGCACTCTTTTCCTCCTTCCAATGTCCTTCACGTTATTGTTGTAACATGGAGGTTATGAAGGGGTTTTTTAATGAGGCCTACACTATTTTTATCAAAAAAAAAATTATGTTATAACAGTTCCTCTAATGCAAGCCTAACATGGATAGGATTTTGAGTTATTTATCTATTCTTAAGCTAATGTTGATGCAATAGGTTATAGTTGCAGAAGCATGTAAAGACTAGTGAAGAAGGTTTTGGTTCCATGATAATTTAAAATTCCTTCTCTACTTAAAACCAAACATGCCCGAGATCTATGAGATGCATAACATTTATTTTATAACTGTTGTCAATTAATCTGATGCAAGATGTTATATTTGCAGAAACAAGTGAAGGCTCTTGAAGAAGAGAGGGAGTCGATGATAATTGAAGAAGAAGATAGTTTGAAAAATTATTATAATCTGATTCAGCAATACAAAAGTTTGAAGAATGATATTCGTGATATTGTGTTTTCTCCAAAGTACTGTTTACCCTATATGAAATCTGGAAGGCCTATATGTATAAAGTGCATTGATGATGAAACATCTCCATCTTTCTCTATTGAGGATCATGTTACCTGGGGTGTTTTAATGGACTTTCATAGAGTAAAAAGTATTATTGAAGGTGAGAACTTGAAGTTGATCCTATTTTTTAAGGTCTATGTTGTAAATTTTACTTGTAATTGTCAAAAAATGCCTTAACATTTCAAGTTCAATTAGTCACAAAAGTGCGAAATTCTTGCTGCAGATGATGCCAATAAAAGACCAGAAGATGCAAGTTATGCCCTTGATATTCTTACAAGGTGCAATGTGAGCAAAGATGGGCTTGGGAAGAAAACAATTAAGATTGTCCCTTTGAAAGAGCCTGGGGAACCTCTTGTTGTTTCTGTGCCTCTCTCTCAGGTGAAATCCATGAACTTCTTGGTTTATATTTTTCAGCCATGTGGGCGAATATTGAACAAGTTAAAATTTGTGAAATTTATATTTTTGAATGAAGTATAAAAAAGTTGTAAAGATAAATTAAGCAACTTTGGCATATTATTGAAAGGAAATATCATGGTAGATGCAATGTGTGGGTCTCATGTTCAGTATATAAGCAAAAATTATTGCTTCTAGGCATATACCAATGTGATTCTTGTGTTTGCATAGCCATTTGCCATCCTCTCTTTCTCACTCCAAGTCCTCAACATATATTATTAATTATACACTCTGGTGTGGTTAAGGAAGACAAAAGTAAACAAAAAGCTCTAAAACTATGGAACATTTTTATAGATTAACATTATGAACCGCATTTTTTGACTTCTAGTGAGAGAAACTCTCGCTTCTCTCTAGATTCCAGGCGATTTCAAAATTTTCTTTCTTTGAAAACCTCATCCATGTTGGTGAGAGTTAAAATTCAAAAGTCTGTCTGATCACCGTCCGCCGACACCGTCCGTCACCACACTCCGACCCCTATTCGCCACTGTTTTTCTCAGTTAAGATCGTCAGCTCTTGGGGTTTCCAAATCTGGGCTTAGATTTGCTAAAGATCATTCAATCGGCGCAAATCTAAACACTGTTCACTACCGTCGCCGCGGCCTACGATTGTCCGTTTTCAATGACTTCTCCGAGATCAGCGTAGAATCGCGACCAAAACCAGCCTATCCTAGTGTCGAAATTCCTTGCTGTTTTCCATGAATCTGTCTTGAACAGCTTCGACGAAGCCTGATCCCGTCACTGTTCCACAGTGGTTTTTCGTCGATTAGAATGACCGGTGGCATCATCGTCCCAACTGGTTCATAGCGTCTAAAACCCAGCTGCTGGGTGGTTCCTACATGTCTGGTTTCTTAGACGTTGCCGTGGGTGTTCGAGATTCTCTGATTTTTTGCTCTCGGTCAGTCCCATTTCGTTCAAGGGGTGTTGTATAGTGTGTTGTTACTGCAGCACGTTGTTTGATTTTCTGCTTAATTTTGTGCAATTCTCACAACCTTGGTTGACTCACTCCAGCTCCAGTAATCCAGTTCTGAGCTTGGGTCCCTTCCCCATAAATCAGACGAGATCAGTTCGGATTAGAATGTTTCAATCTCCTACGGCAGCCGTTGGATCGTCTCGGATCCGAGGGTAGGTTGCTCCCGGGGTTATACAATGCCTTCTCACCTTTGGGATTAGCTAAAGGAGGGGCCAGACTTCGGTTAATGGCTCTGCCCGAGAGATTCAAATCAAAGAAGATGGCGACTAGGAGGCGACAACGGGTTTGCCAATCACAACCGGATAACAAAACCCGCGTCGATTTTAACCAAACGAATCATCATAGGCCTTCGGTCTCCTACGGTGTTGCGAAGGAAACTGTCAATGGTGTGTCTGATGGGAATCGGAAGAAGCCAGTGACCGGTGGTGGTAGCTGAGGACAGGTGAAGTCGAGATCGACTGAGGAAATGCTTTTGAGATCCCGATTAGAGGCTACGTCGGCGACTGAGGATACATTTTTTTGTAAGGAATATGACGGATGTTGACCAAGATGGAACCAAAGAGTTCACCAAAAAGGGATGTTCCGATGACAATTCTACTGAAGTAGCAAGAAGGAGAATCGGGTTTCATAATTGGTGGAAGGAAGGCCACCCAAAAATCCGTAATGGGTATAGAAGCGGTTGCTACACGTTATTTATCGAAAATTTACCAGATAAGATCCATTGGAAGAGGTTCGGATCTTTATTTTACACCCACAGTCGGGTTATTGATGCTGCCATTCCAAACAAAAGAAATTCGAAAGGGCTTCGCTTTGGTTTCATTCGTTTTGCAACAATCGAAGAAGCAAGGAAAGCGATCTAATAAATGAATGGATCTCATATCGACAGGAGCAAAATTAGTGTATCTTTGGCTAAATTCAAACCTCGACAGTCTTTTTGGAGAAAGACCTCTACATCTGTTCAACGTAAATCTGGGATGGAAGGTGTTTCGAGGAATAATCATTGTGAAGTTGAAGGTGTTATGGACGAAGATAAACTTCACGTGTTGAGTAAATGTCTAGTGGGGTGGTGCAAGGACTTTATCAAAATCGGTAAGCTCGCTAGTCAAATGCAAGCCAAGGGCCTCACTGGTTTTTCGTTAATGAGAGCTGTTGGAAATGCAGTATTAATGATTTTCGAAGATTTTGTTTCATTGAGAAGTGTGAAGAACGATAAATCAGAGACTCTCGCAAAGTGGTTCTCCAGAGTTGAAGCTTGGTCAGATAGTTTGGTAGTGGAGTGTCGTCGAGTGTGGTTAGTTTGCGAGGGTGTTCCTTTTCACACTTGGAATTGGGATACTTTCAAAAACATTGCAGATAAGTGGGGTTATTTATTAGCAATCGACGAAAGCTGTCAGTCACCATCATCTTTTGATCGAGCAAAAATTCAAGTCCTCACAAAGACTCATGTGAGAATTGAAGGTTGGTGACAACTCCTTCAAAATCATGGTGCTTGAGATTGAGCCTTCATTCAAACCAAACTCTTGGGTCCCTGACGAAGTCGATTCTCATTAGAGCTCGTCTCTTCAATGTGCTTTGATATAATTTAAATGGTTGCAGGTGTTGGTTTTCTTTTTTGTGTTATGTTCTTTTACGTGTTTTAATCCTATTGTTGGAGGTGTAACTTAGAAATAGGGTGATTGTCGATTGTGGTTTTTGGTTGAGGATGTGAGAGTTAAAGGTGTTTGTTGTAATGGTGTATATCACCATAGGAGGATATTCAGTGTTTTCTTATGTATTGGGTATTATTATTAATAAACTATGAGGTACTCTTTTCTTCCTTCCAATGTTCATTAACATACTTCTTAGTGTGGACGAATAAGAAGGGAGATTTAATAACCTCCAACTTCTATAAAAAAAAAAGCACTAAAACTAAAAAGCGAGTAAGATAGAATTGGAACCCTAGAAAAACATAGGGTTATCAAAGCCTCTAGTTTCTGTCTATTACTTGAGTGATGCTCCTGCTGCTGTAATGTTTTACAGCTTATTTGTGCCAGGCTTAATAAATTTTTTAACCCTAGCTCGAAAACCCTAAAGGTAACTAATAACCCTAGCTGCTTATCTTTATAACTAATAGTTATAAATAAGACAAATAATAAAATAATATTAAAAAAAAGCTCCTGCATCACAGAGTATGTAATGAGCGCCACAACCAATTGTCATGAGGTGAATAGTTGTATTTGTGTTATTTCATCTTAAATTACGTCTTTTGAGAAAACTTTCAATTAAATATAATTGAGAAAACTTTCAATTAAATATAATTGAGAAAACTTCAATGTTATAACTACCCTTGTTAAGAGATGTACTAATGACGAAGCTGATGGTTTAGCTAAATCGGGTATAGGATAGTGTGAGGAGAGGTGTCTTGGTTCGTTATTTGGGGGTTTTGTTTTGGGTGTTTGTATGGGGGCCTATGTACTGTATCTGTTCTGTTTTTGGGTGTAATCCTTATTTTTGGTAATAAAATTTAGGCACTCTTTTCCTCCTTCGTATGACTATTGAGTTTTTCGGAGCTTGATGGTTATGAAGGGGTTTTTTAATGAGGCCATATTCTTATCAAAAAGTAGATTCTGAAAGGATACTACAAACCTTTTCATTACATTTAAAGGTAATGTTAAAAATTAATTATTATTATTATTGAAACTAAGGGATAAGTTTGTTGACATGAAGCACCTTTGCATGTAAATAATGATTTTCTGTTGCATGCATAATCAAGTATCATTGTTATGAGTGTGTATACACGCACTTTCTGGTAACATTTAAATCAAATGAAAGTAATTTAAATTAGAACTATAATATAAAATACCTGCTTACTTCATTAACACTAGGAAAAGATCTATTTATTTAGGGAAGTATTTGTCTTTATATGAATCTTGTATTTTCCTTTTAATCTGTGTCGCATGTGACTATTTGTTGAATTTATTTTTGAATATATAGTGAAACATTTTACTAATAAATAAAGCTAAGAGAATGTATTATCGAACTTGGCATTAACATGTACATTTTTTCCATGTGTATATTATACTAAAGTAATATTTAATGTTAACAAAAATTCAGTGTAAATTAACTTCTTTTTTCTATTATAGATCCTTGAAGATAACAATTCATTATAAACTCTTAATTCTATCAAATAAATCTCTTTAATGGAGTAGTTTAATGAAATTCGACTTTTTACTCATGAAAATGTAATTAATAATCCATCTAATGAATCAATGAAAATGAAATTAAATTTCGTACACATTAATTGATAAAACCTTATGAATATTAGTAATGAAAATGTTTACAATGTCTCTTAAAAAATGCAGTGAACATTAGTAATTTTTGTTAGTTGTGAACATATTATAGTTAAGTATCCTACCTCTGGTAGAAGTATATTGTTTTCTGTTCCATTTCTTTTTTTGTTGTTGTGAGATCCCCTCCTCCCCTCTTTCTTTTGTGGAACAGCCTGCAAATTTGTTTTGTTTTATCATTGCAATATCTTATTACAATATTTGGAACCCTTTTTCTTTTTCTTCTTTTGAAAAATGAGACTATTCTTTTTGTAATGAAGCAAACTGAATCTTCTTTCGGGAAATGGTAGATTTTTTTCCCTGATTTCAGCTTTGTGCAAGCTTTTTAGCATCAAAAGTTAATAGAAATATACTTCAATGTTTCTTTGGTCTTGCTGAAACTAATGTCCATCCATGAGGGAATAATTTAATTTGTTATTTGTGCCTTGGACAGGTTACTATTTTAAGTAGTGCACGCTTGACCATACCGAAAGATCTTCTGCCTATAGAAGCACGAGAGAATGCCTTGAAGAAGCTTTCAGAATTTATATCTTTGTTTTTTTCTTTCTACTACTGTTACTTCTAGTATTATTCCTATTATTTCAGTTATTGAATGATTTTTCATTTTTTCAGATTCAAAGCAACTCGTATAAAAAGGCTGTCCGTAGGTTGGAGGCATTAGAGAGCCTGTTCGAAAAACATGAAATTGCAAAATCCCCGCTTATAGAGCAAAAGCTTAAACTGTTAAACAGGAAAGAAGAATTGACATCCAAGATCAGATCAATTAAGAAAACAATGCGTTCTTCCACAGTATTGGCTTTTAAAGATGAGCTTAAGGCCAGAAAACGGGTTCTAAGGAGGCTAGGGTAAGATGAACTTATCTATGATTGCTTTGCATTCATTGGCAAAATTTTCTCATGGTCTCTTAACTTTATGGTTCTGCTTTATATTTGATATGTTCTGCTCTGGAGCTTTTTTTTTATTCCATCAGTCTTAGAGACGAACATAAGATGACGGACAGTCTTTTCTACAATCAAAATAAAGATCCTCCTTCCTCATTTTCCATATGATTGGGATATTTCATTTACAACCTTATTTTTATAATACAATCACTCTTCTTCTTTTTTCCTCCCCCCTTCCAAAAGAATATCAATAAAATATCGCTTTGTTTTCTTGGCTGTAAATGCTTGATTATGCATGCTGTTTGTTATGTATTTTAATTCCGTCTTGCATTCAAATTTATTCATGGCTCAAGCAGTGTTGTTAAGGCATTGTGTCTTAGCACCAGAAAACAAATGCACCTCAGACCCTTGCCAGATTGAAGTACTCTTTACTCTTCCTTTTTAACTGTGCCTTCACTATTAAGAAAGGAGATATAATATCACACCTCTACTTCTCAATATTTAGTTTTCAGCAACAGACATGTGATCATAAGGGAATCATATAATATTGGCCAAAAAGAGAATATACTGTTGCATGTTTCTTAGGATATGTTAGAGCGCTCTTATGTTTTGTAGGATATACTGGAACACTCCTTAGAGTTTGTTAATATATCATATATCTTACATTCTACATTGATGCGCACACATGCAAAAAAGTACATATACATATTGTGCCTTTATTGGTCGTGTGTGTGTTACAGATGCCTTTGATGATGTTGATCTGCATTAATTATTTTTAGGGAAAGGATATTATCTTTTTATTATTTTATGAAGATATTAGAGCATTATTATTATGAGATTTTCTTTAGAAGTATCTTTATGGTATTAGGAGCCTTTATTTATTTAGAGTTATTGTTTTAATTGCCTTAGTTACTTCTTTTATTCAAACAAATAATATGTAAACTCTATTTAAATAGAGGCTGGTTGACTGCAATAAAATTAAATGAGATTAATTCTATTCTAAGAGGTTTAAGACTCTAACCAGTCTAAGGTAAAGGATTCTCTTTGGCGAGTTCCACACATTCACCATAGGGTGTTTGCAAGTAAGAAACAAAAACAAGGGGGGAAAACCCTGCTATGTTAGATGGTTTTCCTACAAATTGTCCGGTGACTTGGTGTGTATTGTGGGACCGTAACAGCGTTTGTGCCTTATGCCTTGGGCGATACACAGGTTCAGAGTTTGCCTTGTGCCCTTCACAATGTTGTAGCCTTTTAACTTAAAACTTCAACCATATCCTATTATTATTATTATAATTATTATTAATGGCTTATGCTTACCAAAACTTTAGCTTGTTGCATAGACACCTGTAATGGCTAAAATTTTCTCATATATCGTATTTTATTGCAGATATATTACAAGTGATGATGTTGTTGAATTGAAGGGCAAGGTTGCTTGTGAGATCAGTAGTGCTGATGAGTTGACTCTGACTGAGCTTATGTTCAGTGGGGTTCTGAAAGATATAAAGGCAGAAGAAATGGTCTCTCTTCTCTCTTGTTTTGTTTGGCAGGAGAAGCTCCAAGATGCTGCAAAGCCCAGGGAGGAACTAGAGCTGCTCTTTACACAACTACAGGATACAGCACGGAGGATGGCTAAAGTTCAGCTTGAATGCAAGGTATACTAGATACTTCATCCTACTGTTTCTTATGTTTGTTTCCATTTTGCAATCTTGGTTTTGGGTTTTGGATGCAAGTTTGATAAGATGTCTGAGACGGTTTGAAACCCATTTTTGGTTGAAAGGAAAATAGATGTCTGGTTCTGGGTTGTGTTTCAGATATTTGGTCATTATGTTGGTGGACCAGTAGGTTGGTTTGGATCCTCTTTGGACATGGGTTTCCTGAAAATAGGAACTGCATATGGTCAAAGGCATATCTGTCTCTCCGACCGGACATCGATCAAAAGAATTGCTGACACTTCGCATTTAGGAATGATCATATTTTGATGTTGCCATTTTGATAGGATTTGTACGTGATTATATTTATACCTAAGCATGTTGCTCTACTCTTGTCTTGCAAGAGAAGTAGTTAAGGGAAGTGTTTATTTACAGGTTCAAATTGATGTGGAAAGCTTTGTAAGTTCATTTCGGCCTGACATTATGGAAGCTGTATATGCTTGGGCCAAAGGATCCAAGTTCTATGAGATTATGGAAATTACACAGGTTTTCGAGGGCAGCTTAATAAGAGCCATCAGACGACTGGAAGAAGTTCTTCAGCAGCTTATTTTAGCAGCCAAGTCCATTGGAGAGAGAGATCTCGAATCAAAATTTGAAGAGGCTGTCTCTAAAATTAAACGAGACATAGTATTTGCAGCATCTCTGTACTTGTAGTTCAGTTGCATCTCTGTTCTATTGTTAGAGATGCAATGTTTAGTTTTTGATTTCAGCATTTTTTTTTCTGCCATTCGATTCTTAGTGGAACTTTAGCTGACTTGTAGTGAAAGGAGAGAATTTAGTTCACTAAAATTTTGCTGTAATGTCTATGTATATTCACTATGCTTGAAGATTCAATTATGAAAATAGGTATGGTAACCTTTTGAACAGCACTTGTGTTCACTGTTGATGATTATCAAAAGCCAATTTCTATTCAACGAATGTTATCTGATCCTATAAGTAACATCCATTCGAATCCTTGGGTAAAACCTGTTAATGATCTACTATTGACTAAAGAAAAAAAGTGAGGAATGTGTTAGGTGATTGGTTTCTTCAACAACGCTGATAAATACCACTCATTCTTCTGAACTCCACGATCACCCTTCTTTCCAATATTCCACCTTAGTCTCTTAAACCCAATTTGATCAAACATGGGAACATAGGTTTGATTGAGCTGCTTTCCATGGCAGAAGAAGCAGTCGAGCTAGAACAGTCCCCCTGGTCTCAACACTGTATATGTCATACAGGGTGAGCTCCAACATTGCATCAGGTATCCTGTTGCTCAAAACATGCGTAGAATGCACTATATCCAGTGTGTTCTCAAAGAATGGAAGCCTCTGAGAAATGCTTACATGCATTGGGATCAACCCCCTTGATGCAATGAAACTATTGAATGGTCCATCCACGTTCATTTGAACTCGTGATGATGGTGATGTTCTGCTCTCTCATCCTCGCAGCAAAAGTGCCGGTCTCACCCCCAATGTCGAGTCCGATTCGGATACTCCCGGATGGTTTCGTTCCAAGGATCTGATAGATTCCATGATCTAGTCCTCTATCGTAAAGCCATTTTCTTTTTTCTCGGCCATGCAAGTCGAACAGTCCTTGCAATCAAAGTTCCCTGCGAATTTGTTTCGGTCGAGGCACTGGTAGCTTTTGCATGCGTACGGATCCCAAATAATGCTGGAATCTGATGGAATTGACCAAAGGCTATTAGGAAAGGGTGTTGGCTCGACATAACCGACGAGAGATTTGGGATGGCACCGCCGACGAGGGAGTGGTTCATAGCCCTTGAGCATAAGTTTTTGAGCAAAAACATCATCCACGGGACATTTGCCGCCAATGTTATATGTCATGTACCGAGAGAGATCCTCTTGAAACCTCAAGCAGACTGCTCCAATAGGATGATAGATCTCATCAGATGCAATCATTGGGGAGTATCCCAATGGGAGTTTGTGCGGGAGAAGGGCAAGCTTGAGTTCATCCGAGAAGGAAGCCAGAGGAGGAATGTCGAATAAATCAACTTCTTCGTGTTGACGGGTGAGCTCAATAAGGAGGACTTGAACAAGCAAGTTGGTGGAGTTGATCTTATGGTGTAAGTCAGCAATAAGAGACTAACTGGCAAAGAGTTGGCACTTTGTAGAGTTGAGCTCCTTCAAGAGATGAGAAATGGAATGACAATGGTGGAAGGATGTTGTTGTTTGATGATAAGATGAAAGGATAAGTAGTAAAGATGAGGATGGTAACAAGGTTGGTGAATATGAGCACGAGGTTGCTGTGAAGAAGTTTCTTGTATCCGCCAGCTTCACTTCCCATGCTGCTTGCCTTGCCTGAAAAGAGTTGAGAATCAAGTGTGGAGGATACATGTATTTTACATTCTATTCAAATGATGAGATACGAACTAAGTGATATCGATGGTAAATGAATTATTGTTATTTCTTGAAGTTTCAAGTTTGAATATCATAAATGTTAAGCTTATGTGTAACACCCCCAACCCGTACCCGACCCGGATACGAGTCTGAAGTGTCACATTGACTTTTCAAACTTTGAAACTTAAAGAAAAAAACAGGGAAATTTTAAACATTCATTAAAACATAATACATTAATTTACATAAAAGAGATCACAAAATACAAAATTGATCAGAGCATTCGTAATTAACAACTTATTACATGCCAACACTCTATACACAACCAAAATACCTACTTTGTCAATTACTTTTGATATGATCTTTTAGTAGTGATGTTGTCCTTGCCACTTCTATTACTGCTCTTCTTGTTTCTTGGTACCTACGTGTAAATCACTTACACGCTAAGTCATAGACTTAGTGAGGCATAACATAAATATAACAATGCATTCATGAACATGCATTCTTACTATATGATCATGACATCTTTATTTGCATGCATCTATTTCAATATAACATATATGATGGTAACATTCACATATAAAACATATATTCTTATACTAATTCCACTTTAATTTATCTTTGGATTGCCCATGTACATTATTGAGAACAAAGGTATGTGAGTACATAGAGGTTGTGCGCTATACTATCACCACAGCTCGTATAATTCCCTCAAGGGGCACTGAATATTTGTCCCGAATGACCACTATGTCCCGAAGGACCACTGATAATCCCTCGACTCTTGGCATGCCAATTATACCTACAACTCTCATATTAAATAACATGGGCTTAATTATAAATACATTTCTCATTTCATATCTCTTTCATCACTGTCCATATAAACACATAAGTCACTTCATATGATCATTTCCATTATTTCACAAACCTGAAAGAATTATCTGATAATGACATTCATTCATATAATATCATGTTAATCATAAATGAAAAATGCATGAAATCACTATAACGTTAACACATATATATATGTATGCATGTGCATGAATATGGAATAATAAATTCAATGATAAGAGATAGACTTATCGCAAGTCTTATCTCAATTCCATTTCATCTAGCATATGCACTCACCTTAGCCTTGCTTTGACTTGATTATAATCCTTCGATTGTTCCGGAACGAGATTACGTTCTAAATCTACATAGTAATACATTAGTACATATCAGTATACTAATTGATATATTCTAAACTATCACTCCTTAGGCTAAAATAAAGCTATTTTCATCTTTTAATGAAGGTATCCCTCGATGCACTACACCATGTATCGATGCATCCCTTAATGGGTGCATCGATGCACTATCTATGCATCGATACATAAATCCCATTCGATGTTTGTATTTTAAGCGGGTGCATCGATGCACTACTTGTGCATCGATACACGGATGTCATTCGATGTTTTTTGTTTTAAAGAAGTGCATCGATACACTTCATGTGCATCGATACACCTTGAACAATTTATGGGATTTTACCCTTGATGCATTGGTACACATTGAATGTGCATCGATGCACATAGCCCAGAAATGTTATTTTAGCACGAAAATCTCTTCGTAATCTTCTCAACACTTTATATTTCCCCTCTTTTTATATCCTTAACTTGTATACACCTACTTAAACTAATTAATACCCATTCAATACCTCTTAAACTTAAAAATCCAATCATCCACATAGATTTCAAGAATCTCCCTCAATTTCCAACATGTTCTAACTCTAATTCTAACACTTCGTATGTCTTAATTAAGTCGATGACAGGTCAAACTCAACCTCCGATTTCAAATATGAACTCTATTTCAAAATTCCATTCAAGAACTCCTAATCTTTAATTCTTCCTACACCCTTCATCTTGTTGCTTTAAAGCAAATTAAGCTTTCCTTAAGCTTAATTAGCATCTAAGGAGCAAAATCAAACTTAAATTTCATCAAACAATTAGCTCATAAGAAATCTCACTTTTTTTTGACCTCTTCATATGTGGAGAAAGAAGAGAATAAGAGACTCTGGAACCTTGTGTTTTGCTTTCTTCTTTTCCACGTGTAGCTAATATATATATCCCTTCTTTAATTATTTCCTTGCAAATGACCATTCTATCCTTCAATTCCATCTTCATTGCAGTTTAACCCTATACCAAATTATAATATTATTCAATTATTATGCTTTAATTACCAAATTCTGAAGTTTTACAATTTAGTCACTAACCCGATATTGAGGCTGTTACAAATCTCCCCCCTTAAGAAAATTCGACCTCGAATTTTCATTATGCGAAGAGATGGGGGGTACTAAATTCTCATGTCCTCTTCACTTTCCTATGTTGCTTCCTATATCTTGTGATTTCTCCATAATACTTTAACTAATGGAATAGTCTTGTTTCTTAGTTGCTTAATCTCGTGAGCTAAGATTTTAACTGGTTCCTCTTCATAAGTCAAATCCGGTTAAACCTCAACCTCTTATGGAGTCACGATGTGGGAGGGATCAGATCGATACTTCCGAAGCATTGAGACATGGAAGACATCATGAATCTTTTCCATTTCAGGTGGCAACGCCAACTGATATGCCACTGGTACAACTCTCTTTACGATCTCATACGGTCCGATAAATCTAGGACTAAGTTTTCCCTTACGTCCAAACCTCAAAACTTTCTTCCATGGAGACACTTTGAGAAACACTTTATCTCCAACTTGATATTCTATCTCTTTTCTCTTTAAATCTGCGTATGATTTCTGTCTATCAGTTGTTGCTTTGAGATTACTTTGAATTACTTGAACCTTTTCTTCCACTTCCTGGATCAACTCAGGACAAAGAATTTCTTTATCTTTAAGCTCGAACCAATTTAGGGGCGTACGACATCTTCTTCCATAAAGAGCTTCATAAGGTGCCATTTTGATGCTTGATTGATAACTATTGTTGTACGCGAATTCAGCAAGAGGAAAGTACCTTTCCCATGATCCTTTGAACTCGATAACACAAGCTCTCAACATATCCTCCAAAATTTGGATTGTTCTCTCGGATTGCCCATCGGTTTGAGGATGAAACAATGTACTAAAGTTCAACCGAGTTCCTAACACCTTATGTAATGTTTTCCAAAACCGTGAAGTAAATCTACTCGATCCGAAACAATAGAAACATGTACTCCATATAGACGTATAATCTCCATGATATACAACTCGACATACTTGTCTATGGTAAAGTTAACTCGTACCGGAATAAAATGAGCTGACTTAGTCAATCTATCTACAATCACCCAGATGGAATCTCTTTTATTCAGAGTCAAAGGTAACCCCGTTACA